AATCACCAAAAGTCCAAATATTCTGCTTTTGAGTCACGAACGCAGCAAAACTAGCCTTTTTGCACAGTGTTTTTTTTTTTTTTTTGGCCTGTTTTTTGAAACAAATGATGACATAATGCAATATGTTTTTCATTATGTAAGGGGAAAAGGTAATCATATCATAATATCTGTATACTCAGGGGTAAATGTCTTTATAGCCATTTTTATTAGAACACATTTTGAAAACTGTTCATCAGGTGCACCCTGAGTGGTTTTTAATTAAGATCCTTTATTCTTACTGGATAGAAAGAGAGAAATCTGCAAACATGTTTAACTGCATGAGTGTACATCACTGATTTAGTCATAAAACCTTTTATTGAAGACCAAAACTTAGCAGGTTATGTTAATTATTGAGCTCTCAGCTGCTGAGTCATGCCCATCTGACCAACCTGCTGGGTTTGCTACGGCCAGGCAATAACCAAAAGATGGAAAGAGATACTAAAAAGAATAAAACAAACTTTGCCTTGATGTGACATGGTGCTGAGAAACCTCTGATTGAATGCATGCCCATTTAAATGTGCAGGAAATTCTAACGTGCTGTCTGTAGGTGCTCATATCAAAGGTCACACACCCACACACACACACACACACCTGAAGCCTGAGTTTAAGGTCCACTTAAACTATGACTGAAAGTAAGGCTCACTGAATCAATAAAACCACCACAGAATGAATTTGGGTTTAATTTTTCTATTAGTTTTTTTACATGCAAAAATAAATACATTAAATACATTAAAACAGAACTGAAGTTGGTGCTTCATCTGATTCTCACTGACAGCAAAACTTGCAACCTTTCACATTTGGTCCTGTTACAGCCACAAACTTTAATATCCTTTACCGGGTGAAAAAAGACCAACACGAAGCCTACAGCTGTGAGGTGGAAGGAAAATAGTTCATGGCCTTATTTTTTGTTTTTTATGTAGACAAACAAAACACGATTTTATTCTCAGGGCCCTTGTACTCTGATGTCCTAACAGAATATCCAGTCATTTAACTTCCTTCAGACAGCTGTTCTGTTTCTGGAGATCTAGCAGTTGTGGAGAAGTTAAGTTCTAAAGCTTTGAACATCTCCCAGAGCTCTGATCAATCCATCATCTGAACGTGGAAAGGATAAAACTACAGACTGTTATAAAACACAGGAGCAAGTTGGTTTACAAATAGATAATCAAATCTTCTCTGTAGTGGTACTACACTACAGGTTGTCAGATCATCACTCTGCAATAAACTTACAACTTCCTGCAATGTATATTTCACATCATACCAGTCAATGTCCCACAAACTGCCAGGAGTGTGGGACAGAAGAATGTGAATAGAATGAAATTTGTAAAAAAAAAAAAAAAAAAAAAAAAAAAAAAAAAAAAAAAAAAAAAAATTCATTCTTTCACATTAAAGAGAAAAAAAAGTTAAATCTGAAAAAAATAATTTGAAAGAAAATTAAATCTCAAAGTGCAGAAAACTACATTACATGTTCAGATATATACGTTATAAATTACTCTCAGAATATATTTTTTAAATGAGAAGTTTCTCAAAGGTTTAACTTTTGAAATGCATTTTTTTCACACTTAAATTTTTTCAATTTAGTTTTTGCTTGCAATATTATTGGAAGAAATTTCTCGCCCCAGTTCTGAAGTCCGTCCACAGAGAACAGACTTTAAAAGAACTTCTGTTAGTTTATAAATCACTGAACGGTTTAGGGCCGCAATACATTAAAGATCTACTGCTGTCGCTTCAACCTTCCTCTGCATCCCAAACATGGAGAAGTTAGCATTCAGTTTTTATGCTCAACTATTTTGGAACAAACTTCCAGAAAAATACAAAACTACTGAAACACTGAGTTTCTCTAAATCAAAGCTAAAACAGATTTAGAGTCGACTTTGATTATTAACAGACAACATTATAAATAATCTCCAGATCTTTTCTCACATGCAGGGAACAGTTACTAAAAAATATTTCAGCTCAAATAAGCTTTTTTTTTTAATCATGAACAAGATGTATTCTTAGCACTACAGAAATGTGGTGCCACCAGTGCAGAGCTTGCTCAAGACTGAAAGGAGGATCGTCTTTCCTGTGGTCTGAATATCTGGGAAAACGTTTTCCTGATGGACAAAGGACAGAACTTGAATCTAGGAAGACTATGTACACACCAGAAGCAGTGAAGGCGACAGCTGCCATGACTCCTGTGAAGCAGCCACATGTGTGGCCCTCTACATAATCTAGGTGATAATGTGTGGGTTGTTCAGCATGATGCATGCTGGGGCTCAAGAATCAGAATGTTATGGACCTGTGGCAGTAAACTCCCCAGATCTGGACCACAATGACAATCTGTGGTCAGGTGGAGGAATGGATCAACTCCAAGCACTGACAGGACAACAGTTAGACTTACAACCATTAGAGGTGACCAACTGTGGTTTTCTGACCAATCGGCCAATTCTGATTTTGTTTGGTCTGAAAAGTTACTAAATATAGTGACAAAGATCCTCAGTACGCAACAGAGGGGGTAACCTTTAACAAGCACACACATGCTATGTGACAGGGTGGGCAGGTCTGTCAGTCAGCTCTCTCTCACAGCAGAGAAAGAGGAGGCAGAGGCTGATTTTCAGATCTTATAGGAGACAGATAAAACTTGGACTAAACAGTTTATCACAGCACAGCGCTGTGTCCTCCTTCTGCTCACAGCCAAACACTGGGCGACCCATCCTGGTCACACAGACAAGTGTTATGAGTATTAAATGTTTTGATAATGTGAAAGTTTCTCATCTCTTTTTTTTCTAGGTTTGAGTAAACGTTCTGGGGTGTTTGGTTCTTTTGGAAAACATTTATGAAGTTTCACTGATATCACTGTTGTAATCCTCCAACACATCCTGCCTGTTGGAAGAGCCTTCACTGCTCATAGGTTCACTTATGGACAAAAAATACTTACAATATGATATTACATGGTTCCCAGCTGTACTGAACTTGTAAAGTTGTTGCGTTTCTACAATTACAGACTAGGGTATTTTCTGAAGTCCCTCTAGATCATTATTTGTCATTCTGACGGGCTTAAGGTCATTATTTTGGAATATAAACAGAATAGAAGCCTTTAAACTGTAATGGTCTAGAAAAAGCTTTAACATTAGCTTTTATTTTTTATTCTACAGATTAAAACAAAGAAGAAAAACTTTAAAAACACATGTCTAAAGGCAGCAGAATCTGATTTAAAGGTGGCTTCAGTTTGCAGGTCTGGTAAAGAAAGGCTTTTGATTGTTTGGGCAGAACTTTAGTCTTAATTTTTCAAACACAGAACCGAACCTCGGATAAGAACCTGGACAAGCCTCGCTGTGTAAAATGATCTGCGGGACACTTGTTGGGTTTCTTCCTATGTGGACACGTAAATTAAAGTACACCTGAACGAACCGCTTGGTCTGTAAACAGAGTCACCGCAGGTCACTGAGCCGTCAACAGAGCACACCGCTTACCTCCGAACAGGTGAGGCGACAGGTGAGCGGGTAATGATCCTATCACCAGACGATGACCATCGTTCCCTCTTCGGTCCCTGTCCGCTGCTTCCTCCGGGCTGCTGCCACCGGACTCCGGTGAGCTGTAGACGCCGCTACTGCTCGGTATGTTGATGCCGGACTGGGCTCTGGCGAAAGGACCCCCGGAGCCCCCCGCGGACCTGGGCCTGGCTCCGTGTGGGTGACCGGAGCTGGACGCGGCTCCAGTGGCTCTGGACACGCCGTGTGCGCGGTGCCGCCCCCTTGCCCCCGCTGCGGCGGTCCTGCCGCCGCTGCCGCTGCTGGAAGTAGAGGACGGAAGGTCCGAGCCGGAGTAGGCTCTGGTTCGTCCGTTAGCGGCAGAGTTGGGCGAGGGGCTGCTCTGTTTTGCCCCCATGTTAACCTCCGCTGTTTGGCTGTGATATTTAAAGAGGCAGTCTACGAGCCGCAGCGGGACAGTGCACCAGATTTCCGCCCGGGACAGATATAGGTACCGGGACAAAGGTGCTGGAAGAAAACAAAAGAAACAAACTGTCCGTTGCTAAGATCCCATCAGCCAGGGAGAAGTTCGATCAGCCATCCGTTACTCCAGCTGGAGATGCGTGGGAAAGTTTAGACGCCGTGACCATTGTTGCTCTCGTGCTGCAGGTACCGTAGGTCCCCTCCTGGTCTGAGCCGGCCAAGCGCTCCTCACTGCCCGCTGCAGCATCGCACCTGAGCGGCCGGCTCCTCGCAGCTCGCCCCCCGGCAGCACATTGCTGCCCAGGAGGAAGTGATGGAGGAGAAAGTCTGAAGCAAACCGTTTCTCAGCGGCACCAAGGAGATTCGTGCTAACAAAGCTCGAGGTATTCACGTCAACGTCCGTCGAGACATTTCAAAATAAATGCAATGTCACGTAAACAGGTTAGAGACAAATAGTTGTTAAATAACCAGGGTTTTGGGTGTAAAACCAATACAATGTGACATTTGTTCTATTTCATATGAACCCCACTGAAACTTTGCTTAACCACCTTTTGGTTGAGTTTCAGTTTTCAGTCCTCTTGTTCACTTTCCCTCAGGTAGAGAATCTGATGAAGTTCAGCCGTCCCACTAAGATCTTCAGGAATTCTTTCATTAACATCCCTTAGATACAGCTACATCTAATAAATTAGAATATTAATAATAATAATAAAAACCATGTATTTCTGTAACTCCACCAGGTGAAATACATCATATAGATTGATTACATAAAGAAAGAGGAATTTTAATACCTTTATTTTTCTTATGATGATTTTTCTAACAGCTAATGAAAGCAGTACATTTAAAGTTTGAGTATTGCATCAGATAAGCAAAACAAACAATTAAAAAAAACAGAAATGTGGGTTTAGTGAAAAGTATGTTTAATACCTGCTTATAGGTTGTTACTTTAAAAAGGTACTTTTAATTTATCAAACGAGACTCATCAGGGTGTCAACAATTTAAGAGATTTGAGGAACATTTGCAAAATGGAAAATTTCAAAGAAGAAAGACCAAATTCACCAAAAGGTTGTTCAACAAACCACATACCTAACTGTGTGCAGGTTATTAGTTTTCACATTTTTTCCTCAAACAAATTAGTTTGTTGCTTAAATTTTACAGGATATCAATGTTTTAAGATTAAATGATCAAGAGGTTAAGTTTTCTTTTAAAGAGTTCAACATGTTCTGAAACAATAAAATCAATCCATCCATCCATCCATCTGAGCACAAGTAAGCTTTGGTCTTGGTCCGACTCTGACTTGTGATTGGCTGGGAAACAAATGTCTTTCATCAAAATGAAGACGCTAAAATAACCTCCTTTGGGTAAGGTATTGACTGCTCATAACTGCTAAACAAACCCCACCTTTTAAAAATCTATATTTAATTCGGGGTGAATTTTCATCTGTCCAAACAAAAGCATAAGCAGGACTTTTTCCTATTAAATTCTAAAAGTCATGCTTTTATTTTGAAAAGCAGAGGGATTATGTTAAGTACAATAGTGTATATTTCTGGTTGCTTGATTGCTAAGGACAAACACGTCTGATGACGTAAACACAGGAACGTCAATAACAGTCTATGCATGAACTGTTTTCATTTGTGTTAGTATCCACCTGCAGCTCACGGTTCTGCTGTCAGGCTGCACTGTTCAGGAAACACTCGGTAGTAACTTCCTCTTAAACAATGTTCTTGTGATGTACGAGTGTAAATCATACTCGTAACTCAACCTTTTTATTTATGCATGCTTTTCAAGCTCAAACCTGTTCCTGTAGGATGGCAGTGAACTGCAGCTATTTTATGCTGGCACCTTGACACCCATTCCGTCATCCTGATCATACACCACACTACACTCCAGTAGGGTCTTCAGGGTAGGAGTTCGCCCTGTAATCCCTGGGCTGTCAGTTCGATCCCTGCTCCGTCCGCCTCAGTTGTTGTGTCCTTGGGCAACACCCTTCAATCAGTGGTGGAGAAAGTACTCAAAAAATGTACTTAAGTAAAAGTACAAATACACAGACAAAAATGTACTCAAGTAAAAGTAAAACTACCACATTAACATTTGTACTTAAGTAAAAGTAAAAAAGTACTGGAATTTAAAAATACTTAAGTATTAAAAGTAAAAGTACTTGCTGAGTAATACCTAATCGCTAATATCATTAAGTGTACCGATCGTATTTAATTTTAATACATTAGAAATGTGCCATTTTAATGAACAACGCCACAGATAAAGCATGTTTTTATTATGTTTACTCTCTGTAACATAGTTTAGACTTAGGTATGTGATTCTATGCATCATAATTTCAGGGATGGAAACATCTTGTCTCCTGTCCTAACATAGCATGAACTTCACTTTTTTTTTTTGCCACAAGTGGCTTTTATTTTGAAAGAAATCCAACAGAAAGGGGATGGAAAGAAGGTGGGAGGAGAGGACATGCAACCGAGGAGCCACGTAGCAGAGTTGTAAGTGAAGACCACCTACCCAAGACCAAGTCAAGACCAGCACCCTGCGCTATGTGACACAAAAAAATTAAGTTTTACCTATCCAAATTGCTTCTCAAATTGATCTGAAAGATCCACATTCCCATAAAACACCTAGATATTAAATACTCAGTGCTGAAATAAATTTAATCAGTAAAGATCCGTCCAGAAGAA